ACCCTCTGATGGCAGCTGTCCCTGCTGTGGTGCCATTTTACTAGTGCCCACAGCCTCTTGCAAGCAAGCAGCAAGGGCTTGCGGATATCGGCATGCGGGAGTTTGTGTTGATTGCTTTGCAACTGCCGTTGCAGGGCGAGGGACTTCTACCACACATGCTACTGCCTGAGCGGTCTCTCTGTGGCTCAGCACTTCTGTAAAGACGGCTTGTCCAAGGATACCATCGTTGGGAAGGAGAGCAATGCCCTGGTGGGTGACGTCTGTTTGCATGTGCACAGTGGCTTTGGGCGCTGAGAATACGAACCCAGAGAGCAGAGTTTGATTCCCGGCCATGGATCAAAATCAGTAGCGAGTCCCCTTCTCAACTGGTCCTTGGTGCGGTGTGCAAACAGTACTGGGGAAACAAAGATAACCGGGCCTGGTGCTGGGCTACATGGCCCCCTCATATGCTATACTTCACCACGCTGGTTAGTGCGGGTTGGTAAGGCAGAGGGGAGTAGGGGTTGGGACTTGTTAAGCTATCATTCTCCACTTATGTTAGCCATGGCAGGAAATCGAATTCGGGTCACTGGTTTCATATCGCAATGCCGCTAAATCCCGGCACCACCACTCCCACCCTTGATTGTCCTTCACCGCAAAGTTGGTGCAAAATGTGGCTCCCAGCCTATTGACCGGTACGTCTAGGACCAGTCATGTAACTGCCTGTGCTCCGCAGACTGCACATGTTGCCAGTGCAATGGCGCATAGCTTCAAGGTCGGTCTCTTGACCTATAAATAACAATACTTTCCTTTTATATTGTGTAATTCGTGCTAATAGCATTCCATAATGCTGTAAAGCCCTCCACGACCAGAGACCCTGCTATCTGAAGGATATTCTCCTCCTACTGCCCTTCCATCTGCCAACAAGGGATTGCTAAACATCCTGAGGGTGCAATTATAAACACGGCTCCCACCCTGTGAATTCCCTACGTCATCGAATAAGGGACTGTCTGACCGTCAAAAGTTTAAAAAAACTAATTAAACCATTACCCGCTTAACCTGGCATTTACAGATGAAGACTAACATAGCATCGCCAAAGTTACGGTTTAAATTAACGTGGTTATTATTTTCATTGCATGTTTTTTAAAATATTTATTGGAACGATAATGTACCCAGGCGCCTTGTCTTAAGAAATGCACCTTTAAAGAAATGAAGTTTAGATGGATTTCTTGACGTGGGCAATAACGCCCTGCTGCTGCTGCTGCTAACTGTCACCGCTACGACTCGCCTCTTCCCCTTCGGCAGCAACCGACCCACCCGATCTACAACATCGACCCCGACAAGGTGGCCAGAGCTCTCGTCCACTTCTCCAAGTTGGGGATTCCGATTCGCGTGTGCCCTGCTGACGAACCGGACAAGTTGAACCCCTGACGCAGACACTGACCCCCCCCCCCCCCATCCCACACCACCCCTTTGCCAAAGTCCAAGCAACACTCCCAACTCCCACTCTGGCTATACGGCCCTCGGGACACTAGGATGCAACATGGGCTGTCAGGACCGCGTCGTGCAGCGTGGCGAGTGAAAAGTGGCGAAAGAGCGAAATATTGCTTCCGCAATGGGTGCCGCTACTCTTGGGCAATGTTGGGGGAAAATCCTCGCTGGCAATTGTCACAGGCGACAACGTTTGCTGTGTAACAGCAATGGTGTAACCTGTTGCAAGCAAGATGGGTAAGAGAGATGGAGAGACTCGGAGACGAGGTAGAGATTAATGGTCACTTAGAGGCGGTGTGTCTTGATGCCATGTGACGCCACAACGTCCACTGACGTGCCGTCATGTGACTTGCCAGTTACACTTTATGTTGCTTTAAAAAATATGAGAACCCAGCTCTCGGGAATGTTTGGGGAATTCATTGCATTTGCTATGATCATCTGTGGCAACTTGGTACCAAAGTGGTACAGAGTGTTGGGGTTCTGTCGAGCCAATGAAAACTGTTGAAAAGTGTGGCTGATGAACAGTGATTGGTCTACAGGGCACACACCCTCGAGCAGTCATGTGACCTCTGTAACCTCACGGGAAGTTGTTATTGTAGGTGCCTGCTAGGTGGAGCAACGATCGGATACGTCCATGTTTGGGTAACGCTTTTTTCTCCCCGATGGAAAGTGGTGCAGCAACTGTTGCAAGTGACAATTAGAAGCAACGATTCTTGCCCAAAAATTTGCCCTAGTGTGTTATGGCCTTCGGCGATGCTTCTATCACAAATGTTGAATTGAAAAACAATGTTCTCAGTGTACTTGCCTTATTAAAAATTGGAAAAGAGCATCGTACTGTGACAGAATTTGAGTTTCTCAACGGATGCGATTTACGCGGGAAGCGGCGTTGTCGTGGTTCGCATACCGCAGTCACCACATTGGCGACCCAGGTTCGATTCCTGAGCATGGTGTGCAAGCAACCAGCCACAGCTGGAATTTACTCCTGACCTGGGTCTCTATATCTGGACCAAGAAATGAGCACCCAGTGTGGTCATTAATGACATCCAAAATCAAGAAGGCAAAGGTGACGGAGCATACCTGTGCTGACATTAATAGGCGCTCTCGTGAACAAAGCTTTTCCTGGCATTGACTTTATGCAACAACATTGTGGCATCCTAGTGTTCGGAGGGTCTCCGAAATTTCCTTGCGTCGTTTTACAAAATAAACACGCAAACTGAGCTTTGAATTTCTAAAGCGCAAGTCCTTCTGTTTGATCATGCAATCTTTTACAGTGGTTGAAATCTTAACGTGATAAGTACTTGTTCAAACATTAGTCCGGAAGGCCAATTGGCTGATTCTTGAAACAAGTTTTCATCGTGGAGAGATGAGACCCCCCCCCTGTCCATTATTTAATCAAACAAAGTGTCTCATCGCATAACCCCAGACAGGCTGCAAGAGTCTCAACGCCCACCTGCAAGCGATAGGGCAGGACAGCGGCTCCAATCGGCATCTCTTCAGTCGACTTACTATATCCAGCATGGCCCCACGTGACAATATAAAAAAAACCCATTGTGAAACTTACGAGATACCGACACATTCTGTCAATAACACTGCCCCCAAAAGGAAATGTTATAGGTGGCATTGGCCACCCTTCTTCTCTGCCACTGCCTGAAAGCAGGCTTGAGGGTTAATTGGAAATAGCAACGCTTACGTAGGGGTTTAGATGGCCAGCCAGGAACCTCATTGGGTGCGGAATGAACTTCTGTCATCCCGTCGGGAAGTGAGTTATAAGGGGCGACCGTTCGCGATGCGTTCTGTTGAAGTTCGCCACGGATGCAGTGCAGGTCGTCTTGTAAATCATCGCCCACCCGTGCATCAGATGTCCACTAGAGTGGGAAGTGACACGTTGCAGTTTGTGTTGATCCACAATGTGACACCGAGGCTCGACTCCCTGTAGGCAGCTCTGAAAATAGACCTCTATTTGTGCCTTAACATCGTTTAAAATATCTGGGATGTAATGGATGATAAAACCTGATGTAAGTGAATAATGGCAATCGCACCGTTGCACTCCATTGCCCTTTTTAATGATGGCCATATTGTGGAAGTCGACCTGATGAGATTTCTATTGTTTCTCAAATTTGGCCTCCATGGCCCATGCTGCCATCAACCCTTGAGTAGAACTGGCATCGTCATGATCTTCATCATACATAAAGGGCCAGGTTCACGTGTTAATGAACCGGCCGTCAGAACTTCACGTAGTCTTGGCGATTTGTCCCATTGTTGGCAATGGAGATGAGTTTTTACCAAATATGTTGGGCGGGAAAAAATACAATTGGCAAGACATGATTCAGGATCGACATATTTGCTCTAACAAATGTTAAAACTTGCAGCATTCATGTGTCGTCATCGCCTTGGCTGGAATACTGTTTCGGTTGACGTTTGCGTTCAGAAGAGTCCACAGGTTTAAATTTTCAGCAATTCGACAATAAAACTGAAATGTATCGGCTTGTTCTGCGTTACCTGCCTGTGTTGGAAGCTTTTGTATGTTGTGCTCGGGTTATCACGGTGGATGTACACTTTCCTCCAAAGTAGTTCCCATTCCAGATTAACTATTACACATAAATACAGGACTTATATTATTACATTTCCATCGGGAAACGCTTTCATCTGTTTTCCAGTCTATTAATGCTTTGTTCTATATCTCTCAATTTCATTGGTAGGGTTGAGTGGATTGTATATTTTCAAAGGTGTTCGAATTCTAGATACTGCTGTTCCAGGACCAGTCATTACCAGTGTCTCGTGCAGTGGTTCTCAACTCTGTCGACATGGTGCCCCCCCCCCTACCAGGCAAGGCCATTGGGCCCCCCATGCCCCCTCCCAGGTTACTCAAGCCACAGTATGTTCCCAGGTGCATTCAATATTTCTCCTGCACGGTGACCATGCCAAAGCCTGCATCCCCCGTCCCCCCTTGGAAGGGCACGACCTATGGGTTAACAACTACTGGCTATAGTGTTGTCCTGTCAACTTCCTGCGAACTCGAATTTTCCATGGAATTATTTAGTTGTTTTAAGGGAAATTGGTGGCAGAAAGATGACTACTTAAGAGTATTGGCACAAGACGGAGGAAAGTGGAAACATGACGAAATATGCAGTGGCCACCAAAATGCTATTTGGTCATGGATCCTGACAATGATTTAAGGGTGCTGGTAATTTAAATCATTGATAAATTAGCTCGATAGTATTTCTTTTATATGACCACATGAAGCTATGTTAATGTTGCGCTTTGAGATTCATTTCAAGAGGAGTAGTTGTTGATGGCGATGTGGATTTAATTGGGATTAAGTATGCCACTGCATTTGAACTCAAACTGGATTTAAGGTATTTATGTGAAGTTCAATCGTGTAGTTTGGTTAACGGTGAGCCTGATGAAATGTGAGAAAAAAAAAATCCCCACTGTAGCTGCCAGCCATCAGAAGCAATCAGCCAGGTAGCCTTGTGGGTCAGTCCCGAAGGAAAACGAAGCCAAAAAAAAGTTATTGCAAATTACATAAATCGTTTTTATTGAAATTTGAATATAGTTTCATCACATCGCGTTGTGTGCAATTTACAATACCGAAATCGCCGCCTTTCGAGTCGAGCATTGCTTTTAAGCAGGTGTGGCCAGGTATGGGGACACTTGCCCATTTCTTAGCGATGACAATTGTCAACCGTACGACCCAACGTCAGACACACTCGACGATGATCGCTACTTGAAATAATTGAAAAAAAAAAATTTCTTCTTCACTCGGCCGAACTCTACCCGGCGGCAAACTTTTCAACCGACTCCTCGGTGACCCAACTGGCGAATGCAAAACTCTGCTCGCGAGGAGGAAATATACATAAATTAACGTAAATTACAATTAAACGGACTTTTAAAGGACACGCATATGCCGTCTTCAGCACACCCCCGCCACGCCGGTACTTAAAAGGGGCATGTGTCCAAGTTCAAATAAAAACAACCATGAAAGTCCTTCACATCGACGTGCTGCGATCATCGATGACGTGGTGGCTAGGCCATGATGGCGAGTGTTGATACGTCCCAGACCTGCGTTTTTAGGGTGAGGGCAGCCACCTCTGATGTGCAAAAAATAAAACGGGGAGAAAAATATCTCGTAATATCTCGCAAGAGTTGAACTACTACGTAGATACATTGTCTTGAGTGGTGTATTATTAGGCAACATCAGGATTTTTTTTTTATGTCTTACAATAAAATACTTGGGAGATTTTGCAGGACGGTTACTGCAAAGAGAGCACAATCCTGGGAAACATCAGGTACAGGTGGCAACTGTAGTTCCTGAGCGGAGACATGATCAACTGGAGGAACCACGTGTTCCTTGGCTACTCGGGGTGGGTTCACCCCAGCACAGATTTGTCGATCGACCTTGCACTAAATGGACTCACCGTGTTTTGCCGTCGCGTGTGTGAACACGTCCACTGCCGAGATGGAAGGGTGAAATCGGCTCGGGTGTAGGTGCCAAGTGGATTCATACATCGCAGTTATAATGTGGGGTGGCGACGGCTTGGGAAGGTCTTCATCCACCTCCGATTAGCGCGGTTGGCTATGTACGGTGCTAAAGAAGTTCAGCATACATATATGCAGCAGTGGCTTTGATCATGGCTGACGATTACGATGATGACAGTGAAACTGGTTCTGACAGACGGTTGCGCGTGTGTTTATGCGCGGGTACCACGTCACCGCAGAAACCCGCTCGTGTGAATTTCAGTTAAGAAATGCTGGGGTTTTTTGCAACGATGCGCGAGTGTGATCCAGTGACTTGGAGATGGCGGTTGGTGGATCGCGCAAAGATGAAGCGCTGGGCGTCATTATTGGAGGCTACCCGTGTAAAACTTTAAAGTATTCTCTGGGCACTTACGTCACAACTCAACGCACTCAAGTATAGCAACGACAACAACGGAATCGGTCCATCTCGCAGACAGGACTCTCCTGTAAGAGTCTTGAAACTCAATTATCAAGTTCAAAGAATGAACATGCAATATCAAAGTCCGTTTATTCACTCTCGCGCTAAACTCGCACAGCACCGGCTGCTGGGCTCCTGGCTTCTCAGTGGCGGCCTTGGGACCGGAATAATGTGAAATCGCAACCAATCAGCAAGTCGCAATTATTTGCGGAAAAGTGTGGGAACTCCAACCTCCGCCGAGACATTTGGCCAGCAAATGTCTCGGCATTTAGCCAGGTACCCTCTGGAGGGGCTTCCGAGAGCTCCATCTAGTGGAAGCCCTTTCGACAGCAGTGGCGTAGTCAACCGCGCTAATTGGGGCGTCACGGTGGCTATGAGATGTTAACTACCTCGCCTGGTGTACAGGAGTTTGCGGGTTCGATCCCGACGCTTACGCCTCCTGTATATTTTGAGTCTGCACGTCTCTCTCCCTGTGGTCGCATGGATTTTTCTCTGGGTCCTCCGGTGTTTCCCTCCACATTTGGAAAACATGCATTTAGAGTATTCACCTGCTATAAATTTTCACTTAAGCCGTCGTTGAGCTTTCATTTATGGCCAGGTCGCTTCTAAAAAGAGTTGAATAGCTCAGTGGGCCTTACCTGGTGAAATAAAAAATAGTTTTGGAGTTGTTTAGTTTAATTTCATGGGACTGAGCTCACAATTCTATACAGGTGCCGCCTGCTTACAGGAGCTGCGCGTTTACGTAGCGGCTTCGCTCTCTTTGTCACCTGCCCAGTCTTCACGTTCGCGCTCGTTAAGCCCGTTCACGGCACAATGTATATTCCACTTTTGCCGTGAGTTTACAAGTGACAATTAAACCCAGATGAGCTACGTTTGACCCTGTTTAAAAGTAAATCAATTACACAGACCTGTTGCCGTCTAATCCTCCATTATGCCAACAACGTAGTGCGGTAATATCTTTTCAAGGGCGAGTCTGTCCATTATGTACGTATGTTGAACTTCTGTAGCACCGTACGGAGCCAACCGCGCTAATCGGAGGTGTCCTGTCTGCACATGGGATATGCTCTTAAATACAGATAAATGCAATGAATTTCACTTAATTAACCAGATCACATCTCACTGACGCCCTCTTTTCTGCTCACACATCGGAGCCCCGCCAGGGGCTGTGCTGAGCATGGTCGTCACGGGTCAATATGCGCCAAGTTGTTTTTCCACTGCAAATAAGCCGAACCATGCTTACCGACGTCACACACGATGTGTAACATCGAGGCGCATTTGGGTGACACCGTGACGCTTTCAGTTAACACGCATAGATATAAAAAAGACAAATATCCCCCATAGAGCCTGACCAGACTGTTGGGGCAAGTGCTGTTAGCGAACACCTACGAAGGCCGGAATGGCACACGAGCGGGTGGGTCGCCAGCACCAAGCCCGGCCGCTTTTGTCTCTCTAGTGGCGATGTTTTTACACACTGCATCATCTGAGTCAACCTAGGGGAGGCCCAGGACCGGTTCAGATAATTGTCACTGGTGTTGGTCGTGAGCGGGCATCGAACTTGGGTCGCAAGGTTCGTAGCACATCGCGCCAACCACTACACTACTGCTCCCCATACACACAAAGATATGCACTCTCACATACAAACTTGTTATCAAATTTAGGCTTGATGTTAGATGCATTGAATGTGTCATCAGCCCCTAGCCCTGCCCAGTCCTGGGCCAGATTCAGATGGTTCATGAGAGCAGAGTTTGGTTCTGGCTTGGCTTGATAAGCAGCCGGTGGAAAACCACCGTACGGTGATCGGCCCTGTGCTGGATGTGTCAGTGAAAAAGGGGCATGAGGGGTCGTCTACTCCTTCGTAAGGCAGACCTGCGTAAATGTAGGAACGCAAGGAGGGTGAAGTCGCAGGTATCTTTCGCCCCCCACATTCGCGGCGTTCTGAATAGCGGGACCACTTTTACAGCGGACGTCGGAGCGTCTGCGTCAACGTCGCACGAATCCCGACGTGCCGTCGTCCACGCGTGCAAAACCGAATCGCTCTGATCGCCAAACCAACCGACCGGACCCGGGCCGCGTTGGTCCAGCGCGGGTCGACGGGTCAGAGGGAGCGGTGCCGCCGTTCCGGAGGCAAAAAAGCGATCGTGGGGGCTTCGGGACTCACGGCCCCGGCGGACCCCCGACGTAGAGACACCGCGTCAGGACGACGCTTGCCCGGCGGCAGTGGTCGCGGTGGTCGGTCGGTCGGTCGCGGAGGTCGGGGGTCGCTCGGGGCTCAGGCGGTGGCGGCCTGCGGCACCTCCCCCTCGGACTCGGAGCTGGAGCCAGAGCCGCCGTCAAAGGCGGAGACGGTGCCGCCCTTGGAGTTGGTGAAGCGCGCGCCGTCGCCGGTTGCGGAGGAGGCCGCGAACGTGGTGGACTGCGAGGCCTTCACCTTCTCAAGCACGCGCACTGCCGCCGCGCCAATCGGCAAAAGGTGACGCACGGACGGCGCGGCCGAACAAAGCCAACGTCAAAAGCAGTGCTAATTTTACTTTGTGGAATAATAATTATTATTTACCAAGGAAAGCCAAGCCGAGCCCGAAGACTGTTGTTCATGAGGGTGCTGCAATGGGGACGTATGGCCCCACACCAATGACATTGGGTTTTTTCAGCTATGGAAACTACCAGAGAATCTCATGCAGAACAAGGGGATATAATATACAAACGCCGCACAGGAGGGCATCCCGAGTCAGGAATTGAACCTTATGGCAGGACCCCGGGGTCCCGAATAAACGGAAGTCAAAATGGTAATTAATTTATTTTTGGCGACTCTGTCCCACCGCGCACATAAACGCTACGACCCACCTGGCGCGGATCATTCTGTTGTCATGTCCAAGCGCAGCGAGGACGAATGCGCAGAAGAAACTTTGATTAGAGTATCATATAGAGCTCGTCGAGAGGAATAGATTGCAGTATCGTTCACCTTCAGCAGACGTCGCAACGCAGTTTATGCGACAGCTGGGGGCGTATGGGACTCCGAGGTCCCGCCATAAGGTTCAATTGAACGCAGGCCCTCCTCGCTGTCAAGGCGCGAGCTTTCCTACTGCGCCACCCTGCCGCCAAAGCGAAACTAACAACGATGTGTTTTTAATTTTAATCAACGACGGGACTGTGAGTGGAGGTCAACAGTCCAGCACGACGACGACTATGATGGCCCAGCGAAGATCAGAAAAGCGTGACTTCTCACACCTCCAATTAGCACGGTTGGCTACGTACGATTGCGGCAGAAGATCAACATGCATCCGTACATTACCGTGATGACATGGAAAATAATAGAAAATTAACAGACGAAGGCTGAACTAATTTGAGAGACCGAGCGAGCCGAGTAAGACCAAACATGGCATTTGGCTATACAGGTAAATAAAAGAAAGATTGAGTTAATCCACTGTCCGACTTGTTAGTATTGGGGATAGAAAAATTGTGCACCCCACACACCAACATTTTTTGAGTAGACCACATGAAGGGAATGATTCAATTGAATCCGCAGATGAAGACTTGACTGCTATTCCACATGTTATCGACTGGACTGAGACTTGTCAACATAATATAAAAAATGTTGACTAAATGAACACTGCTCAAGACCGGGCACGCAACGACACATCAATTCATCGTTTGGAATAGATCGCTATGGGTTCAGGATGCACGCATCGAATTCTACGTTCGAGACCAAATGAATATTCACGCAATTGAGAGGTTGGCGTTACATTTAGAACAAAATCTGTACAAATAAGGGAAAGAATCGATGTCAACGATGCTATGAAAACGAGAGAGATCACGAACTGTTTCTCAATTAAAATCGTGAGCCAGACTTGTGATTATACATCAAAACGGCTGGGCAGGGTAAGTCAACACGTGCTTATATCACGCCGTCACTTCCAAAAATGAGTCCGTGACGCACGGCAACGATCTGGTGGAACGACCACGTGGGGCCTGGGCACTCACCCTTCTCTCCGATACGTGTTTGGGTTGCTCCGTGCATTGTTTGGCACGATGTCCGACGTTTCACTCCACGTGCTGGGAGCTTCTTGGGGAACTGAGAAACTGAAGAAGGTCCCAGCAACGAGGAGTGAAACGTCAAAGACAATCGTGCCAAAAAAATATATACCGCGGTTAAAACCCACAAATGAAAACCAAAACGTCTGAGAGCTAGGCGGGGAAACGACCGTGAGGGACCCCCTAAGTCAGCAGCGTTACTCACCCTGCTGCTCAAGGAGGTTGTTCTGTCGCTTGAGGTCGTCGATGTCCTGCTGGTGGGCGTGGTTTTTCCGTCTCATGTACTGGATGTACTCCGTGGCTTTGTTGAGGATTTGCGCACGGGACGCCTGCCAATTGTGGCACATGGGGGGAGGGGGGGGTCAGTGCGACAGGTCATGCGTACAGTCTGGCAAAAACCCCAGTGACACCGGGCCAAGTTGAAAAAAAAAAATTTCATGGCGAGCGGCTTACGAATCTTTTGGCCCGGCAGTCGGGATACTTTGGCGAAAATACAGAAAGCGTTTCGGTGACATCACCAGGAACTCAAATCCTGCATGGATTATCATCATCATAATCATCATCAACCATAATCAATCCACTGCTGGATAAAAGCCTCACCAAGGCATCACCATCTATCATGGTTGTACGATGGAACAACAATCCACCCTCGCACAAACTTATTTCATGACTCCATTTCGTTCTCCTCTCGAAGCGTTCCATCCTTTGGCTTCGATTGTCTTTATTCTCAACACCGGCCATCATCGCCTTCCAGTGACATGTCCTGCCCAAGCCGCAGTGGCGGTGATGTTAACTAACTGGCCTGGCACACAGGAGGTCGTGAGTTCGATCCCGACCCTGACGCTTGTATGTCTGGAGTTTGCATGTTCTCCCCGTGGTCGTGTGGATTTTTCACCGGGTCCTCTGGTTTTTCCCTCCACATTTAGAATCAACATGCATTTAGAGTATTTGGCTGCTATAAATTTACATACAATAAGCCACGTCGTTGAGTTTTTATTTGTGGCCAGGTCACTACTGAAAAATAAGCTAAGTGAGCATTACCTGATAATTTGTTTTATTGACTCAATGGTGAAAATGTATTCTTTAACTTGTCTCTGTTCTCTGATCCATGTGTTTATCTTTCTGTCGTTCAGTGTAATTCCAAGCATCCAACTCTCCATGCTTTTTAGCTTTTGTTCCATACTCTTTGTTAATGTCAACGTTTCTGATCCACGGCTCACCGATTCGACAGCGTGAGAGAATTGCGTACGTGGAATTACATCGAGAGACAGGAGAACGGACATCATTCGAACTGCAAAGAATCGCTGGGAGGGATGATGGCAGACGATCACGACCAAGGGATAATGATAGAACGGCGGCTAGGGAACGGAACGCTCCCAAGAGGACGTCCAGTGCTGAGATGAAGCCATGAAAATCAGCTCGGGCACGCCATGGCACGCGGATGCCGACTCAACTGTCGCATCGCACAACTGCGAGAGATGGCGACGACGGCAGAGGCGGCGCTTTCATCCAGCAGTGGATTGACCGAGGCCGACGACGACGACGAAGAGGTGATACGTATATAAGCGTGTCGTAGTGTCACGGCGAGAGTGTGGCTCTGCCTCGCCCGTCACCCACCTGACTGCCGACCCCCCCAGACCGGCGGCCCCCAAGCGATCCTGCGTGCGAGCAAACCTTCTCTCCCTGCAGCGAGGGCACCGAGTCCCTGAGGCTGTGGAAGCTGTCCTTGATGTGGTCTCTCCGCTTGCGCTCCAGGGCATTGTGGTGGGCACGCTTGTCCGCCTGTATGGACAGACGACAGCCGCCATTAGCCGCTGAGAGGCTGTGTGACGAAACCGCGGCGCACGTGCATGCGGTTGCAGGCTGTGTGCGCGTGTTCAAGTTCAAGTTCATCTATTAGGTATAGCCCTGTGAGCCATTCGGCTCTTGAATCGGGTGCAACCGCAACAAACAAAAAACATGAACAATGTTACAGATTGTGCGTGGGTGGTGCTGGCTACGTGTGCGTGTGGTACAAAGACAAAAAACCCCCGTATAGCCGAGCCGGTTACGGACCATTGGGGCAAGTGTTAGCAGCACCTATGAATAAAAGACAACGAAGACTGCCCGTAGAGCCTGTTACAAACTGTTGTGGCAAGAACTGTTCGTGAGCACCTTATGAAGGCCAGCACAGCACACAACGGGGTAGTGTGGCTAGCAACATGCACGGTCACCTTTACACACCGCACGATATAATCATTTAAGGCCACATCAACCTATGGGAGGGCCCATGACCGGCTCAGATATCCGTCACTGGTATTGGCCGTGAGTATAAATAAAAAAATCAGGATGCCGGAATTCAAAGCGCCCCGCTCGAACTCGCAACCCATATACACGCGCGCACACACTCACGTGTACATGTGTAAATTAGTGGTCCAAATCGGCTTCCAATGCCAAAGGGCAGCGGCATCCCACTCATAGCAGAGCAGTTGTTGAGCAGCCGTCACACCCGCAGCGCGAGCGCGTGTTACTTAACACGGCGCTCGACACGCACACACACACACGCACATGGACGTGTAATCTGGCCGGGCGGTGAACACTCGGAGAAAAAAGTTAATCGGAAGAAACAAGTAAGACGAACTAAACGACATGGGTCGAGTTAGAGTTAGGGACAGGGCTAGTGTTGGATCTGTTGGCAAGTTTGGGCAGGGCTTGGCTCGTGTGGTTACGGATAAGTGTAGGATACGGTTGGCTATTTTGGATAGTTAGGGATAGGGCACGGTTGGCTAGCGCTGTTAAATGTAATGAGTAGAGCAACGGTCTGGTTGGCAAGTGTGGCAAGAGTTAGATACAGGGCCTGGTTGGTTAGTTTGGCTAGGGGTGAGGAGAATGCGAGTTTGCAACGATAGGTGTGGATAGGGTTAGAGATTTTGGAGTTATAGGGCTGTGGTCTTGTTGGCTCTTGTAAATAGGGGTTATGGGTACGGCCAGTGTGCTCTGTCCACCACTTGTTTTCTCTTTTCACAGCAGACACCACAGTACTGTGGCAGAGCACTTGACTCATAATCAGACGCTTGCTCTGAATAAAATCTGACTTTTTAGCTCAGTCATCATCGTCACTATCATCATTATCATCAGCCGTGATCAACCCACAGCTGGATGAAGGCCTCCCCGAGTTAGTCATCTCTCACGGCCCCGCGATTCAACAATATTTAACTCAGCGAGGGTTACTAAGACGTTCACGAGTGGACGTTTCTGTCAAAACATAAATTTAAAACGTTAAAAACTATTTAATATTTCGATTTAAAGCTTTCGTGACTGCAGGGATTCATCTTCTTGGTTCTTTCGGTAAAGTCACGTAGAAGGGAAATTATAAAATAAAAAAAATAAACATTTTATTATGTTGTGTTTTTATAATTTTATTATTTCCCTTCTACGTGACTTTACCGAAAGAACCAAGAAGACTATTTAATATTGTTTTATTTTAGCAGATAAGGCTCACTGAGCTATATAGCTCTCTTTCAGAAGCGACCTGGCCACAAATGATAGCTCAACGAAGTGGCTTATCGTGTGGAAATTTGTAGCAGGCAAATGCTCTAAACGCACGTTGATTTGAAATGTTGGAGAGAAAAACCGGAGGACCTGGATAAATATTCACGCGACCACGGGGAGAGAGATCATGCAAACTCCAAATATACAGGCGTCAGGATCGGGATCAAACCCACGACCTCCAATGAACATGCCGCGCCACCATGGTGAGGCGTGTTCACAAGGCCGCACCTTGCCGATGATCCTGTGAAGTTGAAACTCGGTCGAGGACACCTTGGTTAATTAACAAATGTTCACATTTGCTACGTGCGTGTGTCAACGGATGCCCCTGGACACCGTTGCTAATGAGGCGTTCCACCTCAAGGGATTTTCCAGCTGAAATATTATTAACGATAATAAAAAAATTTAAACAATAACACGAATCTGGAAGACATGGCCAAGAGGTGAACGTAATGAATGTCACACGTCCTTTCGCTTATTAACAACAAAAATGTGCTTGTATTTTTCGATTTAAAGATTTCGTGACTGCAGGGATTCATCTTCTTGGGTCTTTCGGTAAAGTCACGTAGAATGGAAATAAAAAAAAATGTATTGTTTTATTTTTATTATTTCCATTCTACGTGACTTTGCTGAGACGGTGGCATAAATGTCCACATTATTCTGACACGGAGATCCGTCTCTTCATGAACTTTGAAGGAATGAGAAACTGAACCGGTTAGTAATTCAATAGAAGATTTCATCAACAGTCTGGGAGGTAAGAACCAAGTCTTGACACAGTGAGCGGGATTTTTTTTTACACGGGGTTTTCCCGTCAAACCTGTCGCAATCAAAGAGCGGTGTGATGTCAGCTGCAGTGGCTGGTCAGCTGTTCCAAAACAACAACTTGCTTAGGGGAAGTATGACTGGACACTTTCAAAAGTAAACACCAGACAGTATGTTGTGGACGTGACAGGAACATACAGACTACATGTGTGTAAACAATTACAATGCACCATTAACAACCGTACAAAGACAAAGATCCCCCATATAGCCTGTACAGACTGTTGGGGCAAGTGCTGTTAGCAAGCACTTCACGGCACACGAGGGCGTGGGTGGCCAGCACCACGCCCGGCCGACTTTATCTCCCCAGTGGCAATGTTTACACACCGCACCAGGTACTCATTCAAGGCCGGGTCTTTTACTGCAGTGTTATACTTATGAGGGTTATCATGGTAGTTACCGTTTCCTTATATCCGTAACGTGCTCTTATAAAAAATTAGCCTTATCCTTCCTGCCACCGGTGTAACGTAAAGATGCGTTGCTTATATTCCAGATGTGACAATATCTAGCCCTATACTCTACAGGGGGTGAAACCATTCACTACCCCAGAACGGCCACAATGGACAACAACAACTGTTGGACAGTGGTGACCGTGACAGTCTCTCGTGGCAGCAATCTAGTGCACGTCCATACATTAACAATGTAAACTAAAGCCCCTTGTCAATCCACTGCTGGATGAAAGCCTGACCAAACTTCACCACCACGCTGGCCTGTGCGGGATTGGTGAAGTGTGGTGGGGGACACGGTTGCTACGTACGACCAGCTCAGATGTCACTGAACACCCATGTCGGCTGTGACCAGCAATCGAACTCGTGGTGTCTGTGATCAGTAATCGAACTCGTGGTGGTTGTGATCAGTAATCGAACTCGTGGTGGTTGTGATCGGCAATCGAACTCGTGGTGGTTGTGATCGGCAATCGAACTCGTGGTGTCTGTGACCAGCAATCGAACTCGTGGTGGTTGTGATCAGTAATCGAACTCGTGGTGGTTGTGATCGGCAATCGAACTCGTGGTGTCTGTGACCAGCAATCGAACTCGTGGTGGTTGTGATCAGTAATCGAACTCGTGGTGTCTGTGACCAGCAATCGAACTCGTGGTGGTTGTGATCAGTAATCGAACTCGTGGTGGTTGTGATCAGTAATCGAACTCGTGGTGGTTGTGACCAGCAATCGAACTCGTGGTGGTTGTGATCAGTAATCGAACTCGTGGTGGTTGTGATCAGTAATCGAACTCGTGGTGGTTGTGATCGGCAATCGAACTCGTGGTGGTTGTGATCAGTAATCGAACTCGTGGTGGTTGTGATCAGTAATCGAACTCGTGGTGGTTGTGATCAGTAATCGAACTCGTGGTGGTTGTGATCAGCAATCGAACTCGTGGTGGTTGTGATCAGTAATCGAACTCGTGGTGGTTGTGATCAGTAATCTAACTCGTGGTGGTTGTGATCAGTAATCGAACTCGTGGTGTCTGTGACCAGCAATCGAACTCGTGGTGGTTGTGATCAGTAATCGAACTCGTGGTGTCTGTGATCAGCAATCGAACTCGTGGTGGTTGTGATCAGTAATCGAACTCGTGGTGGCCGAGTTCGTAGTGCAACGAGCTGCTCTACCAGTCCAGCCCACCCACACGCGCACATCAACAGCATGTGATGTGATAATTGTTTTTACCCTTCTATCTGGCAACAAAACTGACACCTTTTTTACAAGGAGTCATGTTTACATAGACCACAATACCTGCAGTCATAAAGCAAAAAAAAAACATAACTCTGATAATGTATGCACTGTCCTTGAAGTTGATTGGTCCACACCCGAGACAGCTTTCCTTAGAGCCTAGTCTCACATGGGTTGGACCAGATGACTTGTAAAAAAGGTGTCAGTTTTGTTGCCAGATAGAAGGGTAAAAAAACAATTATCATATTTTTACTGGCAAATGAGGTTTCAATGGAGCAGGTGATGTGTTGAGAACTTTTACGAGTCCCCATTGACACACCACGTGCGGTATAAGGCAGTGCAAGACACGTTTGCAATACTGCAACGTGTACACGGGCGTCCTTTCCCATGGGGTATCTATAGCTGCTGAAAACATTACGTCACCGGCAAGCAGCTCTTTCACGCAATCCGCAAAAGTGTGTGGCCTCCCCTCCCTGTTTGTATTCACGTGCACAGAGACGTGCAGGCCTTTTATCCATTTTTCTGTCCGTGACAATAATGTTGCCACACCATCCCAGTACCCACGCCAGCGGCTGCCCCACCACGCACAATTCCAAACACTGCCAGAATCAGAAGATGAATTTCTAACTGGAGGAATCCAATGAGCTATGAAGCTTGACTTAAAGCTTTCGTGACCGCAGGAATTCATATTCTACTACGACGTCTCGATCACAACACAAGTAGTTCTGACGACGATCGCTTGTGATGTGATCGAAACGTCGTAGTTTTT